ATATTAAACTTCATTAAATATAATATTATTTATTAATTTTTATAAAATTTTTTATATTAAATTCAAGTAAAATAAAATAAAATATTTATATTTAAAATTTATAAAAAAATATAAATCTTATATAAAAATTTATATCAAATTAATTATAAATTTTATAATTAATAAAGTTTACCAGTGCACTAGACAAACCCTAAATTAAAAACATTAGAAAAGTTGTTTATAATTCAAACTATATTAAAGTGCAAAATATAAAGGGTGGTGCTATATGGACAACTTTTTATAGCACTTTTTTATACAATTTTCACATCTTATTAAATGAGTAAATGCATTTAATATTACAGGTTCAACATGAATTAAAAGAACCAATTATTTTAATGATACGTCAGGTTGTACAAAAAAGTAAGATAAAAAAGTTGCACAAAAATCATTTTCTAAATATAAGTTCTTAGATGGGGAGATGATTTTCCAATATTAGGGAATTAACTTTTCATCTAAATATTTATATTTTGTAATTGAATACAATCTATACTATAAAAAAATAGATTCTTATTAAAAAATCGAAAATAAATTAAAATATCATCTTCTAAAATGTTGACGAGAAATGATATTCCTCTTGTAATATGTAGTCCTAACATAAAGAACTTGTCCTTAATTATGGTTGTAGAAAAGCTAAAACGAACAGTAATACCATATATACACCAAATCACTATAAGACAAAAAAAAAAAAAAATCAAAACTTCTAATTTAATATCTCTACACCTGCACCAGTTAATTTCTCCTTGAACAAACATATGGAATCGAGACCTGCCCCTTTTAGAGGAATATAAGGAATAGGTGCACTTTTCTCTACAAAATACATATAAGCTTTTGCGGTGCCAAACCATCCAGCGTAACAAGAACCGAAACTCTAGTCTAATCCTCCTCTTATTCTAAAGATAACTCATCATGTCTTAATAGATTCCTTTAAGAGATGCCCTAATAAGGGGTGTTATAAATGAGATTACGAATCTGAGATTCTAATTTAACGACTTTAAGTTCGAATCTTAAATTGAGTGGAAAAAAATTTTTAAATAAAGAAAAGGCTGTTCTCTTTTTATATATAGAAAAAAAAATGATTCCTTCAGGATGGGTGCTAGCATTTCTTTTCCTTTTACTCACCTCTTCTCGCAACAAAACACAAGGTCAACAGCCAAGTCCCTTCTGGAAAAGCATAACATAAATTAAAGAAAACTTAACTATTATTCATATCTTAATGCATGTCCTAAAAATCCTTCTCCAGGCTCCAGCTGATGCCTCTAATAAGTTGGAAGGCACTGACGAAGGGAGATCAGACAAAGGCACGTCTGTATTTAGATACCAAACGTTTTGACCTGTGAATTAAGTAGCTTAACCAATCACATGGAGATGATATTAATTAATTAGCTTCCCTCACCATGTCCCAAACCTTCATTATTAAACATAGATGAATTTTCGACCGTCTTGCATTCAAACATATATTATACACACTGCTGAAGTTTTGATGCAATGGTAAGGTAGAAGTCGGGAACTTTTAAATTATATTAAGATTAAAATCTCATTGTGCATGAGTCTTCCTCTCTTTTTGTTGGAGAAAGTAAACTGTCAATTTTTTTTTATTAATTTAAGATATATATTTCCATGATGCAATAGATTTTTTTAAAAAAAATTTTCCTTTGTTTTGTTAATCATATGTAAATTGTCGTGGAGCACTGCCGAGGGCCAGTGTTGTGTTGTTGGAATCAATGACTATAATGACTGGAATCAATGAGTTTTCAGCATTTATCAACCACCACCAATTATAAGGGGGGAAATAACCATATTTTAAGCTCAATTACTCGAAATCATTGAAGTTTCATCATTCATGCCATGATGTAGGGTAAGTCCTTTTCCAGAGCAGTGGAAATTTGACCCTCAATTATATAATATAAAATTGTCTAGATTTTTTTTTTTTTTTTTAGTTTTCTTGGTGTTAGAGCAAAATATCTTGGTGATCATTCTTTTCATAGGTTAAAACCCATTAATTCTATTGGCCAATGTAAGATTAAAATCAAAGAAAATTGAAATAAAAAAAGAAAAAGTAAACCCTCTTTTCCCAGTAGTTTAAGAGAGATATTTTTGTTTGGTACATGGGGCAGTTACGATATAGTAAGCTATGTACTGAAAAATCTAAAGGTCTTTGATCTTGAAACGCCCATCAAGTGTTTCATGAAGAGAAATCTTTGCATCGGATGAATTGTCACGTAAGATTGTGAGTAATTTATTGTGAGAACGGTATTGTTAATAATAATAGAAATCAAGTGTATTTTCTTAGGAAAAATAGTTGAAAAGAAGAGGAAGAGTGACAAAAATCAAAACTGTATTGTGAATTTGGTCTCCTTTCCATATTTTTCTTTGGAAAAAAATGTCTCTGCATCCAAGAAAAGAAAGGAGAAAAGACACCAAATCAAGAGAAAGAAGTAAAAATAGGCAGAAGTCTCAATTGAAATAAGATCCTCTATGTACAATAAGGGTTGCCATGACTTAAGCTAAGAAAAGCTAAGACTACCAAATATTATTCCAAATTTTCAACAAAAGTTAGAAAGACTTTCTCCCTCTCATGTTTTTTCAATCAGTAAAGTTTCGTGCTTGCTGATCTTGCATACTTCTTTGAAGCAGAAGACGGTGAGGATAAGTCACCGGACCTTCTCCTCAGCATCTGCCTCATACCGTCAGCCACTCGAACCGCTGGATTGGATCTGAATTTCCCACAAAATGACATGTGAGCTTTCACAGCTTCTTCCATCCCAAATGAAACCTTTCCCCGGCTGACTTCGTCTCTGACGGCTTCCGAGCACAACCCACATAGCCATTTGCCATCAAATTTGGCCTTGACACTACTGATGTAATCTTGGGTGCAATCCTCTTTGAGCCCACAACACTCACACCTCACAGACTCGATTTCCATATAGGTAGGATGAAGGGTGGGTGTTTTCTCTTTTTTTTTTTTCTTTTCTTTTCCTTTCCTTTCCCCCAAACGTTCAAGTGAACTGAAGGAA